TGTTCCTTCTTGGTCTGTTCAGTCCAGCAGACCTCCTTTTGCCTTGCTTGATCATGAAACTTATTACACATAGTACTCATTTTACATTTCGTTACTTTTAATATGAGTCATGCCTTCTCACACCAATTAAAGGATAAGCACATGAAAGGCAAAGAAACAAAATTGATAAGACAAGATGAGAGAATTTTATAGAATATCTTGAATATGATGAGAAGGAAAAGTAAGAAATTCATTGGTGGAGAGAAAGTCAAGCTGGGGCAGCAGTATGGCTGCTTTGTCCCTAGCTGATTTCTCTTAGATGCAAGTTCCCAGGTTGATGATGCTACTTGCATTTTCTTTTTCAATAATGTTCTTCTAGTTATCTCTGTTGGGTGCTAATTCGATGGTGTTTTGCTATTTCTAGCTGTTTCTTTCTTCCTGCTACTTGCTATTGTGCTTTTAATTTTGCTTGCTGCTTCCTTAATGAACTCACCCATTTGAAACTGAAAATATGGCTATTTTAGATCATTCTTCAGACAGTCAGTAAAGAACACCTTTTGATCAAGCCAATAATCAATATGTTAATGGAGAGTGACATACTTAAGTAATTGAATTGATCACTAAAGAATATGAAATTAACTGGTCAAAGAAAGCAAACAACCTGTTGTATAAAGTAATATGGGATATTCTGTAATATAAAACTTTAAAAGGAAAATAGTATCATATAGAAGTCAGATGTGACATTGCACAACCACAGTTCCAACACTGGCAAGATTGAGACAGAAGGACAGTGAACTCAAAGTCAGTTATTATATACATGACAGTACTAGAGTTAAAGAAGTTGAAATCTTTTTAAGCGTTTATCAGTTAAAAAATGAAAATTAGCATTATTAATAATATGTTGTCTGGATCAAACAAAGAAATAACTATTTGTTCAAACAAAGAAAAGGCACATGGCTTCACAGTGATTTTTACTAATGTAAAACGATACATAACTTAAATGTTACCCTGAAAGAGAAAGTTATATCAAAGGTGGAGGAAGACTAAAATATTAGTGAAAAAACAATCATATAAATAGGAAAATCAGGGGTCATTTCCTTAGAGATGGTTCCATGGGCACTTTATGAGAATGAAAACTATGAGACTGACTTAGCTTGGACCTCTTAGTACCTGCTATAAAAGAGGCCTACGTACTATGTTTAGAGTTAAGAAATTTCCCAGATGAGATTGTTGTCATATGGAAATTAGATCCCCAAATTCTACCAGTTGGTTCTGTGACCTAAAGACCATCTGTTATAAAGCTTGACAAATGTTCATCTATAAGTCTGTCAGAGTATCAATTTATGTGTTTCAGAAAGCAATCAATCACTTATGTTTTCTCAACAACTTATCTACATTTTTCTCAGGATTTATCTAACTTTATACTATAATTTTTGATATCGTGAGGATTTAAGTCTTACATTTTGCATAAAGTCCATGAATTTTCTGGAGTTTATCACAATTTTTAGTGTGGTTATTTGTTGAATTCAAAATACATAATGAAAATCTGAAAAAAATGCTTTTATTGCCTATACCTTGACAGAACATATAGCGACCAAAGATGGAGTTTGTATAACACTAAAATTTGATAGCTTATTGTATCATATGAATGTTTCTTTGTAGACAATCTAACACACTGAAGCTGCATTGTACTCTCAGAATCAGATTATAATAAATTAAACTGAAAGTCACATTTCAGGACTACTTCTGTCAGATTAAATTACTCCAATATGACAGTAGATTTGTTGTCATTTTCTCATATTTTTCAGGAAGTTCCCTAGTACACCTAAGGCTATGTATCTATATGCACATTAGATTGTTGCTTTCATTCATTTTCTTCACATTTATATTTTCTTCACATCAGGTTTTCATATTGACCCCTTTTAGTGTTATCACTTGAAATTTAATTTTATGTTATTTTACACCAGGATTATTTGATTTCTTCTAAACATACAGTGTTACTTTGCCTTATTTGTGGCACTGGGAAACAAAGTAGACATTTCTACCTGTCCCTTCTTTTTAAAATTATAATGATAAGTATAACCTATGTATGCCTATAATGCTTATATTTATTTATAATTGTCTGTATTATTTTGTTTTTGATCACCTCGTTTTCTCTCAGTTCTGCCTTTGTCTTGACTTCCCTTTAGTAATAAAATATACATCATTTTAAAAGAGAGATTAGCTTGAATTCTATAGTTATTTTTCTTTAGAGATTGAATAGTTTAGTATGTACTCTGAAGCTGTATATATCATACCACACAAAATGTATGTACATATGCAAAAGTAAAGTCTAAAGCCACTTAGTCACTTTGTCATTTTCCTAAGTAATATAGAGACTTTACCTTTCCCCATCTTAAGACTAACACACATGATTGGGTTTTTGTTGCTCTTGCTATAGTTGTTATATAGTTGTTTACTTTGTACCTTCTTTCTGGAAGAAAGAATACACTGAAAGAATTAAGGCTCTTCTATTTTCTATCTATCCCCTTCTTTCTCTTAATTCTTCTGCTGTCACTTTGACCTGTTAGATGGGAAGTCTGCCATTATTCTGTTATCATGAATCTTTAACCTTTAATTATGGTAGCTTGCATCTCCTCTGCTGTATTTATATATAAAGATTTTACATTTTGACATTGCACTCATTAATCAATGATTTTTATCATCAACATCTCCTTGATCTTTTCTCTTTTTCTTTCTCTCATTTCTGTCTGAATCTCCTACTATAGAGTGTTGGAATCTCTTCATCTGCCTCCCATGGTTTTATGTGTGCACTGTGTTGGCCAGAACTTTATGTCCTTCTGTTGTGTTGTTGAAAAGATTTTCTTTCCCACCTCTAATTTCCCCATTATTTTTATTCAGTTGAATTTGCTATGTAGCATCTTCACTGTTTTCTATAATAAGATTCTCATTACACTGATAATGTCTTATTTCTAAGATTCTACCTAATTATTTATACTGCCATTTGGACACCTCCTATGTAAATTACTTTCCTCATCGATCTAACTAACTACCTGAGAAGAATTTGTGTGAAGTAGAAAAGACTTGATTTGTCTCACTCTCAGGGTATTTAGTCAGTCATGGTTGAGAAGACACAACAGAATGCATCTGTTTGCTCACATTTTAGTGGATGAGGAAACAGAAAAAGAGGAATGTCAGTATTCATGTGGATGTCTCCTTTTTCCCTTTCTGGGAAGTCAAGGACTCTAGCCCATGTATGTATATACTGCCTATCTTCAGAGAAGTGGGTCTTACCTCTTCAGTTAATCCATTCTTAATATATTATACCACACAAACATAGGCATACTCCTTAACACCCTAAGTATTTCTTAGTTCAATCAAGCTAACAAACAAGATAGAGGCACACAAGTCTGTTACTTGTCAACCTGACACCCAAGACATCACTTCACACTAAAGCATTTTTCTCTCCTCCTTTATTTGGATGTTTTAAACAAAATTATGTTAAAATTCTTTTCAAATACTCACTCTCTTCTAATACTATGTGGACTTTTCTATTCACTATATTGTTTACTAGCATTTCACCATCTACTAGATTTCACTTCTAACTAATATCCTATTCTATAGACTGATTTCCATCAAGAATTATTGTTTGTCAGTGACTCAAGAATGCATGATGCCTGGCAGACATTTCTTCCTTTCTAGAAAACAACTCACTGGTCTTAGCTGTCTGGGCTCCAGAAAGTTCACCAGTGTCAACTTGAAGTGTATATTATTTTCCTAGAATTTCTAGTTTATGTTGTTGTCTTTCTTTTTACAAGGCATATAACTTAGGCATAAATGCTAAACCTCAGTCACTGATTTGTTCCCATCTGTGACAAAAGCTAGAAACCTGGAACATATTATACAGCCTGTAGTGATAAACATGATGGAAGCTTGTCCTTTCCAGGTGACTCAATTGATCTTAGCCTCTTCTAGGTAGCATAACTGGTCTCTGTTTCCTTTACCCTTCTGGGCTTGTCTGAGAATCTTTTCATAGCTGAGTTTATCAGAGAGTGTCTTTCAGAAGTCTTGGTGCTTATTTTCTCTAGGGGATGTAGAGAATTTAGTAAATCTTGTCAGTTTCAGGGACTTCCTGAGCCAATATTGAATTGTTTATTTCTTTCCTTAAATTTAAGATCCTCAGTGGAGAACAGACTGTTTCACCCCTCCCCCAGTTCCATCCACTACCCTGGAAGATCCTGTCATTTTACATCCTTATAAACATCCTGTTTTAAAGTATCCTGTTCTTTTCCTTTTCCTTTAAATCCTATGTATTAAGAATTTTCACTCAAGGATGGAAGGTTTTAATCTTGAAGGAAACTGCTAGGCAACACGTGTGCATTCAAAGGCCCATTCCTCAAATCAGTATAGATTCTGTCAAGTTGACGGTTAATACTAACCATCATAGTGGGTAAGAGGTGTGGAAAGTTAAACAGTACTTGTTAATGTGTCTTCAAGTTCTAATCTTCAAGGTTGTTAATCTGTTCACTGCATAGAGTGTATACTCATCCTCACAGATCAGGATCCTCACCTGATGTGGGATTTCCTCTGTATGCTGTGATTATCATTGGTTAATAAAGAAAACTGTTTTGGACCTATACCAGAGCATAACTTAGTAAGGCTTGGAAAGCTAGGCTGAATGCTGGGAGAAAGAAGGGCAGAACCAGTGAGAAGCCATGTAACCTCACCAGAGACAGACATGATGAAACTTTGCTAGTAAGCCACTGTCTTGTTGTAATACACAGATTAATGGAGATGGGTTAAATTAACATGTAAGTTTTAGCCAATAAGAAGCTAGAGCTGCTCAGTGTCTGGTTTGACTGCGGAGGTGTTGGTCTCCTCTGTGGGTCTGTGAGTGGAAGGCGCGCCGGCTCTTTTGTCTGAGTGTGACCCGGTGGCTCGGTCCCAGGCCTGCCAGTGATTTTCCCCGGGCAGTCCGCAGTGGCTGCCTGCGTTCTCGATTCGGTCCCCGCAACCGCAACCAGGAAGGACCGAGCCCGCGTCACGCCCCTTAGCCCCCACCGAGTCCCTTCTCTGTTGCCGCGTCCGAATAGGGTTCCCGGAATCAGACGGTGCCCCATAGATGGCCACCTTTTCCCCCGAGGGTTAACAAGAAAGAGATCGTGAGATCACGTACTGTAGGGGAACTTTTAGCTCCGGCAGCTCTTTTTGACAAGAAATGTGGTGGTGAGAACTGGACTGTGGCTTTTGCTCCAGATGGTTTCTACTTTGCATGGTCCCAAGGATATCGCATAGTGAAGCTTGTCCCGTGGTCCCAGTGCCTTAAGAACTTTCTTTTACATGGTTCCAAGAATGTTGCCAATTCAAGCTGTCTAAAATTGACAAGACAAAATAGTACTGGTGGTCAGAAAAATAAGCCTCGTGAACACATTATAGACTGTGGAGACATAGTCTGGAGTCTTGCTTTTGGGTCTTCAGTTCCAGAAAAACAGAGCCGTTGTGTTAATATAGAATGGCATCGCTTCCGATTTGGACAGGATCAGCTACTCCTTGCCACGGGATTAAACAATGGTCGCATCAAAATCTGGGATGTATATACAGGAAAGCTCCTCCTTAATTTGGTAGACCATGTTGAAGTGGTCAGAGACTTAACTTTTGCTCCAGATGGGAGCTTTATCCTTGTATCAGTTTCAAGAGACAAAACTCTTCGCGTGTGGGACCTCAAAGATGATGGAAACATGATGAAAGTGTTGCAGGAACATCAGAACTGGGTGTACAGCTGTGCATTCTCTCCCGATTCTTCCATGCTGTGTTCAGTTGGAGCCAGTGAAACAGTTTTCCTTTGGAATATGGATACATACACCATGATAAGGAGACTAGAAGGGCATCATCATGATGTTGTAGCTTGTGACTTTTCTCCTGATGGAGCTTTGCTAGCTACTACATCTTATGATACTCGTGTGTATGTCTGGGATCCACACAATGGGGACATTCTGATGGAATTCGGGCACCTGTTTCCCCTGCCTACTCCAATATTTGCTGGAGGAGCAAATGACCGATGGGTACGAGCTGTGTCTTTCAGTCATGATGGACTGCATGTTGCAAGCCTTGCTGACGATAAAATGGTGAGGTTCTGGAGAATTGATGAGGACTGTCCAGTACAAGTTGCCCCTTTCAGCAATGGTCTCTGTTGTGCCTTTTCTACCGATGGCAGTGTTTTAGCTGCTGGAACACATGATGGAAGTGTTTATTTTTGGGCCACTCCAAGGCAAGTCCCTAGCCTTCAGCATCTATGTTGCATGTCAATCCGAAGAGTGATGCCCATCCAAGAAGTCCAGAAACTTCCGGTTCCTTCCAAAGTTTTGGAGTTTCTCTCCTACCGGGTTTAGAAGGAAGACTGCCTGTCCTGGTGGGGCCTAACAGACACTCTTCACAAGACAGCACCTCGAGCTTTACCAACTTAAGCGTTTGTTCTAGAAGCTCGGAAGATTATTTAATTTGATTGACTCTTCATTTCTTTTGTTAGTTGAACTTTTAAAGTATTATTTATAGACCATAGAAATACTTCTGAACATTTTTTTAAAGATTAACTTTAATCTTTAATATTTAACTAAAATTTAAAATTTAAATTTAAAATTAACTTTAATTTTTTTTAAAGATTAACTGTGAAAACATATACATACCTGTATATATTTAGATACAAGCTGCTATGTATTGAATGGCCGTTCTAGATTTCTAACTCTCAGTCCTGACCTGTATATATTGCTCCAGTAGAGCCACGGTGTATATATGTGCTGTTTGTTGGAACAAATTCAATGGAATTTTTGGTGTTTTTTATTGGGACACTGAGTTCAGATGTCCCAGTGATGCTGAATTAAAGCAGAATCGCCTCATAGGAAATGGGATTAGTCAGGGTGGGTGGTATCAGACTGATGAGAGAGTTTTTATGTAACAAAAAGAGTCTACAAGAATTGTGTCAGGGAGTTTGAATGTGACGTTTTTAAAAAGCCAGTACAAAGGTAGCTAGAAAAAAGTTGTTTTCTCTGTAGGCCTTAATTTTGGAAAGCAGCTACTTAACCCTCAGAGAATAAAGTATTATCCGTTCTTGTCAATTTGAAAAGATACACCCACTGCATTATTGCTGAATATTTTGTTAATACTAAGGCACAGTTGTTTTAAGACATGGGTTGTTTTTTAAAAAAACAAACACATATTCTGTTTTTTGCAGAGAATGATATTGGTGACTTACCAAAGAGAAGCAATACAATATGTCTGCTTTTGCCTTCTGTTATTTATCTCATCTGCAGATGTTGAGAATGTATGCATTATGTAAAAAGCTTGTTTTATATCTTGAGTTTTTTAATTAAAAGACATAAAAATAATACGTTGCAAAAAAAAAGAAGCTAGAGCTGATGGCCAAGCAGTGATTTAAATAATACAGTTTCTATGCGATTATTACGAAGCTAAGCAGCCAGGAACTAACTAGCGACCCTCCATTCAACACTCACGTGGAGGAATGTCTATCCTGTGAAGTTTTACTCTTCCTAAATTTCAAGATAAAACTTTAAGAACAATCATGTACCTCCATACCTCAGCAAAAAAAGAGATGTAGACTAAATAGAGATACCAGGTCTTCCCCCTGCTTTTATTGTTCCCCAATGAGGACTCAGTTCTTTTTTGAAAAAGTACCTTCCAATTCCCTATTTTATAGCATTTTTGAAGATGTTAACAGGCTCATTTTCAAACTTACCTTAGACACATTTTCAGCAGAAATGTTCATAGATATACTACATGTGTATGTACTGGAGCTACTTAAGTATAATACTCAAAGAAAGGGCAAACAGTTGACGTTTACTGAATTGCAAAAAGGACTAGGACTTGACATTACTCAGGATATAAGGTGATAAAATACTAGAGACTACAAATGGGTGAGAGAAGAAACAAAAGTTGTGTCATTCACAGAGGAAGCACTTGCTCTCTAGCCCTCAGCATAGGTGAGGGATTGCATCAACGCCCCTCTGTTTGAGAAATGCACTTTACCTACTGTCTTTACTTTTATATGAGCTAATCTTGTCTGGATGTTAGAATTCAAAGAAGGAGCCAAAGGCAGTATTACCAGAAGTTTGTGGGGAAGAGTCACATCTGGATTACCAGATACTAGAAAAATTGGAGTCCTTTCTTAAGATTGTTAGAATCATTAATGAAAGAATTTAAGGATTGGCTCAAATAAAAGCTTCAGGATGGTTTTATTAGAAAATAATAGGGGAAAAAATCCTAAAACATGCAGGCTGTAAATCTCAGCAGCCATCCTGAGGAAAGGACTGAGGTAGGTAGCAGTGATGGGAAGTCATGCAACTTGAGTTAAGCCCACTTGGAGGTTGGCCTCATAGCAGTGTATAGCTATAGAGCAGGTAGGGACAGTGGTATGCAGAGAAAAGGAAGCCCAATGTTTTATGGAAGCATGATTAGAAAGGAGATAGAAAGGAGAAAATGAAATCCTACCCCTTTCTGTCTAATTCTGAAAAGCAGGAAAATTTAGAAAACTGCATGACTGTGCTCAGAGACTTTATTGTGAGTCAGGAATTCTGGAAAGGAAAAGCCTGTATCTCATAAAAAGAATAACTTTCCACCTATCTCTCTCTATGGCTTAAGGCTGGGCTCACTTAATGGTGAACATTCCTGGCTGAGGGGTAATCTTTTGGCTTGGTAGTTGACCCACTCTACTTTAATATTGAGTCTTCACCAGTTCAGCAATTCTATTATCTTGACCGGAATGAGGCCTCCCACAATGGATTTTTATTGCTGCTCTAACAACAGCATCATGAGTGAACTATACTGTAAAGACTGTAAAAACTGTAAAGACTGTTCTATTCACATAGGAGAAACTCAGAGCAAGCCGGGGGATAATAAAACAAAGGTAGGAAGTGGGAAGAACATAAGAGACTTTGTTTCTGAGGCTGATATATATATATAGATAGATAGATAGATGGATAGATAGATAGATAGATAGATAGATAGATAGATAGATAGATAGAT